CTCCACTCACGTTGTCTATGTTGTGCTGTAGCTCCAGTAGCGTTCAAGTTCCAGCGACAAGTGAGGTTGGCCCTGTGAGAAAACAGCCTGGCGATTTAAGACGAAAACACCAGAGCTCAATTTGAAAGAGTAACGTTCAACGTGATGCGACTGCTGCGTGTGTGCAGAGAGCGGAATCTTGCCCAGACCAAGCCTTGAGTATCTCAACGTTTTTCAGGTGCCACAGTCTTGAGCCGAGCCAAACTGGTTCGCAACGAGAATGATACGGTCGCGCGGGGCGGCATGCCTACTTGCGGTTTGGCCTGCATCCACGCGACTCATGATGTAGCACTACGCGGGAACCCTTGATAGTTCGCTGTCATGGAGTGGTATATGTCACATCAAAGTCCGACTTTTGATGTAGCACTAAGCAGAAACCCTTGATAGTTCGCTGTCATGGAGTGGTCTACGTAATGTGTCTCAGAGTAGTGATGTTGCGTCATTACTACTTCAAGCAAGCCTTGCGAAGAGTATCAGTTCGAGTTGACGTGACACCTTTTGCCGACATGTAGAATCCGGTTCGTCTCGCTCTTGGCAATTCTCGGTCGGATTGCCTGTCGCGGGTAGCGACAGTCGTCTCAGGTAGACGTGACAGACGCCATTCCTGGACCTTGCTCTTTCAGTGCTTGTCGTTGGTATAAGAAGAGGCTCGTAGCGTGAAGTCAGCAGAGCAACGAGCTAAGTCTGAGTTGTTGTATCCAAGAGCTAACATCTGACGAAAATGACGTCGCTCAAATCGCTTACGGGTCCGACTGCAATGATCCTTTGTGTGCTGATTTTGTCAGGTGATTTATTGCTGCTTGTGTGTCCTGTGACTTTGCTTTGTTGGCTTTGTCACTTTCTTTTTGTGATTACCGGCCACCCCTAGACTCGCAGCGGTTCTTTAGTCACGGATTCATCGATTTTTTCATCTAATTGAATCCCTGCTTCTCAATCCCCAAATGGTGGCTGCAGGATCAACTGTGGCATTGGCATCTCGTGGCAAGGTGCTGAAAATCCGCAGAACCGCACAAGATGCTCATGAAACCCATGCCGGTTCGCTTGTCAGGCACCGTACTCTGAGCGACTCCATTCCAGCAGAGCCCATGCCAGAAGTTTCGTTCAACTCTCTGTCTAGCAGTGGTGGCGATGGGCTTAGCGGTGGCAGCAGCAGCAGTGGAAACCAATCAGTTTCCAACAACTCTATTCCAGCACAGCCCCTGCCAGAAGTTCCGCTCAACTCTTCGTCTAACAATGGTGGTGATGGTCTCAGTGGTGGCAGTGGTGGAAATCAGTCGATTTCCAACAGCTCGGCTGTATTCTCCCACCTTGGATGGCCATCACCTCCCAGTCCACCGTCGTCACCACCACCGCCACCACCGACATCGCTGACATCACTGCCATCACTATCTGTCAACAACCCCCTGTCAGGCATCTGGTCTTTCTTGACTGGATCACTCCACTCGGGAGGGCCGTCTCCTCCCAGTCCACCCACTGTCGCATTCACCCCACCAGTGTCATCACCGGTATCACCACCATCACTGCAGTCGCCATGTGTGAACCAACCACTTTCAGGCATCTGGTCTCTTCTCCCGCCCTTCCTCCGCATCGGCAGTGGCAACAGCTGTAATGGTGACAGCAGCAGCGGCATTGATGGGGAGGCAGCTGCTGCAGCGGCGGCAGCAGCAACGACAGTAACAGGGCGTATTGGTGGGGAAGTGGGGGAGGCAGCGGAGATGCTGACTGGACGCGGTGGTGGTGGCTTCGGCAGCAACGGTGGTGGTGGTGAGGAGGGGATGGGGGGAGCAGCGGCGGCGTTGACTGGACGTGTTGGTGGGGAAGTGGGAGAGGCAGCGGAGATTCTGACTGGACGCGGTGGTGGTGGCTTTGGAAGTAGCGGCTCTGGCCTCGATGTAGTTGCTTTTCCTTACACCAGGTTAAATGGACACAATGCCAGCAGCAGGGCCAGCCAGGCCAGTCGCGCCAGTCGTGCTAGCCGCGCCAGTCGTGCGAGTCGTGCGAGTCGTGCCAGCCGTGCAAGCAGGAATGCACGCCCTAGCCGCCTCAATTGATCTGAGCTTTGGATGTGCAACGTTGACTTTTGCTGCACGATGTCATTCTCATCTATAAGGTTCCTCCCTTGCATAAAAAGGTTGCTGATTGTACTGCCTTAGGAGGTGGCAGTTACTCTTACATACAGTAGGAGTTCGACCATTACATTCTGAACAGACCTGAAATGCATACCATTTGTGCAAGTGATCACAGTCGTGGAATACACGAAATGGACATATTGACACCCTGGATTATGTCACAGGAATCCAAGAATGCTGGGTCTGCAAGTCGGGGCGTTTCTCCTGTCAGTAGGGTTTCGTACGTTCTGATTGTTTCTCTGCGCGGTAAAATAGGTTTCAGTACGATAACTTCGTTTATGGGTTGTCACATTTTCTCAGTCCCAGACCTACAGTGAAAAGTCCCTAGAGTTTGGCGTGTTCACTCAGTAGCCAATCGTATGCTTGCAAGAAGCCCGCCGCAAAGCTCTCAGGATTCGTCCACGAAGCTCGATATCCTCAACAAGAGGATGCGAACAAAACGAATGAAATTATCGGTGCCACGTCGGTTATTGCGACGAACTCTCCAGGGTTTCCTGGATCCTTCTCCTTCGTCAGTCTGATCGTACGTCACATCACTCACCAGTCGCGGCCGACTTGTCGCAGTGCCGGGCCATCCTCCAGGCCAAATCCATTTTTCCTGACTCGGCAACAGCGGCAGGAATACAGTCGCGCAAACTCGACCAGCCGGATGACGTGGCAAAGCGCCCCACGACTGCGCTGCTCACCAGGGCCCTTGGGATTGGTCGCGCGGGCCCCAACCTGCCCCACCCTCCCCGTCCCTCCTTTCCCCCACCCCAACAACTCTGCTGTCCCACCTTGTTGGCGGAAAACTTGTCACCGCTTCCGCCAGGTTCCTTTGTTCCCTAAAATTTCTCATCTCTTCACCACACGCGCACCACCCTTTCTCTTTCTCTCGAACCTTCCCTTGACCACCTACCTCGCTCAACCGCCTGAAAACTATGTCCACCTCCCTCAGCTTCTCTCAAAACCTTGTCCCACCCCACTGCTTCCCGTGTGCGTATGATGCCTCCTCGCTTCTTCGTCTTCCCCTAATCTCTCACACCTATCCCTCCCGCTCCCCTCCCGCTCCCCTCCCGCTCCCCTCCCGCGTTCCTCTATTTTCGCTTACCCTAAACTCTTCCTCAGCAACTGCAGATTTGCATCAACTGCTTTTGTAATCCACTGCTCCCGTTTCTTAGCTGCCGACCACCAGATTTAGGGACCTGCTTTTCTTGGTTTTGGAACAGACCTTTATTCTCGCTCCTGTCTGCGCGACCTGTTTTGTGCGGTCTCCGCATAAAGCCGTTGCACGAGCTTTTCGTTATGAGCGTTAACCGGCGTTCTATCACCAATAACATTCAGTGGCTCTTGACGACAAAGCCCTGCTGCGTTATAGTGTTCTCCGCGACACTTGCGTAGTAACTCGCGCGCAGTCCCCTTTGCAGCACAGCTGCGTCACATCCAATACAGGCCTGCTCCGAACCAATCACCCTGGTCCTTAACTCGTACATAAGGGCCTGCTCCGAACCAGCCGCTTCGAACCAATACACAGCCGCTTCGAACCAACCACCCTGGTCATACATAAGGGCCTGCTCGGGCCGACTTTTGTGGTTCCTTAGAAGTCTGCTTCGAACCAAGCATCCTGGTCCCTAACTTGTACATGAGGGCCGTCTCGGCATCCCTCCTGTCTCCCCGTCGGCATCCTCTCGTCGCTCCCCTCCTCGTTCCCCTCCGCTCTCCCCCCCGCACTCCCCTCCGCACTCCGCTCCCCGCTCCTCTCCGCGCTCCCCTCCTGGCGTCCCAGCGTCTCAGCATCCTCCATGGCTCTCCTCGGCGCCCAACCCATCATCTCTTCTGTTCTTCTCTCAACCAACGCCCTAATCGCGGAAAAAAATCATTTGTTGAGAAAAAAGCCTCGTCATTCGGACCTCTCTGGTCTGCGCAGCGCCTTGTTCTACACGGGCAATCCAATACCCAGCCGCGGCAACAGGATTGTTCAGGCAGCAGCCGTGACAGAATCTCTAGAGCATTCGTTGGCGAGTCGCTTGTTGGCGAAAAGAGTAGAGAGTTGTCATAGCTCGCGGCCGGGGTTATGTCCGCGTGGTTCGGGGCTCCATGCGGGTGGTACGGAACGATGTTTGGGTGGTTCGGGGCTAGGCTCGGGTAGTGTTTCCAGTGAATCCCACAGTGGCGTTTCTTTGGGGCCCGCAGTTCGTAGTTCAAGCTTTTCAAACGTCGCTCGCTTGTCGAGAGTTTCGCATCGGGTCGCAAACGTCGACGGGGTGTCGTCGCCTCGCGACTCATCCGAGGGATTTTTCTCGGCACGTACCGGCAATTCGTCGCCTCTTTGGTCGCCGTGTCTCCTCGCGAGCGTCGCTAGCGTTCGATCGCTTCGCACGTTACCATCATGTAACGTTTCGCATCCGTCGGCGCGGTCGTTCCAGTTCGCCTCGGCGATTCGCATAGGAACCCTTGGTCCGGTCGCAAGTACGTCGCACGCACGATCGTTCCGGCGATCTGCGTTTGGTACCCAATCACGTACGAGGACCGGCCAGCACCGTAACTCGTGTGCACCCATGTAAGTACTTACATCTGTTAGTGCCCTTCGAAAATATTTATGTATATGTCATGAGGACCTCGGTGATTTACGAGACGTCTCAAAGGTTGTCCGTGCCCTTGCCCGGCAGGACTCCGCGACGGGCGTTGAGGGGGCGGCGGCGCGCGCAGAAGAGCCGAGTCTCGGTGCAAGAAGCGGTGGAGGCGCGGGTTGAACAGTCGTGCGACCACAGCAGCAGCAGCGCCACTTGTGTGAGAGACAGCAGCAGCAGCAGCGGCTGCAGCGTTGGTTTTGGGAGCTTTACTAGCCAAGAAATGGCGGCGGGTTCGTGCGGTGCGATTGCAACGAACGGGGGAGCAGCAACAGCGGCGGCGCCGGGAGCGGGGGCGGTGCTTGACTGTGATATTAGCGGGGCCTTGAATTTAGATGCGAACTTCGTGCCTGGGGCTGATGACGTGGCGCAGCTTGAGAGAGTGCTGGCGCAAGCTGACGTGGCATCTGTTACAGAGTCTAGCGGACGAGCCGTCATTCCCGATGCTGATTCGTTTAACCCCTTGGGATTGCCGCCAGACGTTTTGGTAGTTCCAAACAACCTGGATGGGTGGTCATCCTCGTTCAAAAACGAATCAATGGATTCGCTACAGGATTGGGTGAACTGGTTCGAAGGGCGCGATTCTCAAGTAAACGTAGACAGAAGTGAGTCTGAGAGTGACACGTGGGGAATTGGGGAGTGGGAGAAGTGGGAGAGAGGGGTACCGAGTGTGGATTCTGAGAAGGAGTTGTTTATTCCGGATGCCCTTCCGCTGCTGAGGGAAGATTCCCCGCTATTGGACGACTCGCAGCGGGAGCAGCATCAGAACCAGAGACGGAACGAGGTTGCGAAATCGGTGGAATTTCACCCGCTGCAGCAAAACTTAGCTGATGAGGGGGGCGAGGAGCGGGTGGGGGCGGAGGTAGCGGGGGATTTAACATTGCAAGAGGCGTCGTCTGTGTTGGCTGCCGAGCCTATCCAGACAGCTGGAACTGCCGAACCTGCTGAGCCTGCCGAACCTGCCGAGGCTGCTCATCCTGCTGCTTTGAAAGGTGAGTAGCGTTGCGTAGGGAGGGTGACAAGGCTGGTTCGATGTAACTGCGTTTTCTTCCCTTGCCTTTCCTTGTTCCTTCCTCCCTTTCTCCCTTCTCTTTTTTTTTCCTTCTTTCCCCATCTCCATCATCCCTTTGTCCCCCTCCCTCCCAATTGCCGCAGCCGTCTACTGAACATACGTCGTCAACTGCTTCTTTTCTCCCTTCCCTTTCCCCATTCCATCATCCCTTTGCTCCACCTCTTCCCTCCCACTGCAGCCTTCTACTGGACATACGTGTTCAACTGTTTTGGCGAGCACTCGTGGCGGTTTGCGGGTGCAGCGCTGCTCGCGCTGCTGCATCACTCGCTGCTGCCCGTGGCTGTGGCCAGCTTCGTCAGCCAGGTGAGGCGCTTGCGTTGTGCTTACTCACGTGCACAGCAAAAGTGCATGCTGCACTTGTCACTCGCTGCTCGCACTGCTGCACCACTCGCTGCTGCCCGTGGCGGTAGCCAGCTTCGTCAGCCAGGTGAGGCGCTAGCACCAAGTAGGCTGCTAGCACTCGCGCACACAGCACTTGTGCAACACGAGTGGGTGAGGTAAAGCGTTGCTGCTCCGTCACTCGCTGCTGCTCCGTCACTCGCTGCTGCCCGTGGCTGTGGCCAGCTTCGTCAGCCAGGTGAGGCGCTAGCACCATGTAGGCTGCTAGCACTCGCGCACACAGCACTTGTGCAACACGAGTGGGCGAGGTAAAGCGTTGCTGCTCCGTCACTCGCTGCTGCCCGTGGCTGTGGCCAGCTTCGTCAGCCAGGTGAGGCGCTAGCACCAAGTAGGCTGCTAGCACTCGCGCACACAGCACTTGTGCAACACGAGTGGGCGAGGTAAAGCGTTGCTGCTCCGTCACTCGCTGCTGCTCCGTCACTCGCTGCTGCCCGTGGCTGTGGCCAGCTTCATTAGCCAGGCGAAGCCCTCCCCCCTCGCTCCCGCCCTCCCCTCCCCACCCCCCCTGTCTGCAACTGGTGGTATTACTGAGTGTGCCTCTACCGGGGGCATTTGAAACTTTATTTTATCACTCATACAGTAATACCATATTAACATACATAAAGTGTGTGCCTTCCCACATCCACTTCCTTTCCCCTCCCCACACATTCCACTTCCTTTCCCCTCCCCACCCTCCCCTAATTTCTCTTCTCCCCGATGCCTCCCCGTCTACAGTTGGTGGTATTTCTAGGCGCACCTCTGGTGGGAGAGCTCATGGACTCAGCTCCTCGGGTGCATGCTTTCAGCCCCACCTCCCCCGCCTTCCCCTTCCCCACCTCACCCCTACCCTCCCCTCTCTCCCCCCTTCCCTCCCCATCTACAGTTGGTGGTATTTATAGGCGCACCTCTGGTGGGAGAGCTCATGGACTCAGCTCCTAGAGTGGCTGCCTTCAGCACCATCTCTGTTGCTCAGGTGAGTTTTCAGGTGAATCTCCAGGTGATGCATGTGTTTTCTGTGTCCTCTCATATCTTCTGTGTTCTGTGATTGCCAAGGGCGGCGTTCCTCTCCTCTCCCTCATTCCCCATTACCCAAACCTGACCGTCCTATCCTCCATATGGACAGGCTTGTGCCACGGTTATTAGCAGCGGTCCCCGCAGCCACTCACTTCAGTCTTCCTTCCCTCTCGTTCCATGCCGTCCCTACTCCCATCTTTCTCCGTTTTCTTCACTTGATTTATTCATACATACGCAGACCACAGCCATGGTGGTAGCAGCACTAGCCACCATACACGCCATTCAACTCGCCGCCCCAGCTGCAGCAACAGCCACTGCTGCAGGCGCAGTTGCCACGTCAGCCGCCACGTCAGCTGCCGCGTCGGCTGCCACGTCAGCGCTGGCTGCTCTTCCGGGCACGGCAGTGCTGCGGCAAGTGTGGTTCGTGGTGCTGGTGGTGGCTGGCGCTGTTGAGAGGCTCACTGGCCTGGCGTCAGGAGTGGCGTTCGAACGGGACTGGGTGATTGTGGTGAGTGTGTGTTCGTGAGCGTGAGAGGGAGTGTGAGAGTTGACACGTGGCTGTGAGCATGGGTGCGAGTGCAGGCAAGAGGGTCTGTGACTTGTTGTGCTGCTGGTGGTGGCTGGCGCTGTTGAGGGGCTCCCTGGGCTGGGCCCTGGAGTGGCGTTTGATAGGGACTGGGTGATCGTGGTGAGCGTGAGTGTGAGTTCGAGTGCGAGTGTGAAACCTGTCGGTTTTTTTTCTCTTCCCCGTCTCGTTATACCCTGTTGTACCCGTTCCGCAGCTCAATTCGTACCCACTTCTCTTCCCTCATCCCTTCCTTTCCTCCTCTTCCCTTGTCCCCTTGACCTTGTTGTGTCCGTTTCCCAGCTGGCTGGTCAGGATCGACCGGTAGCTCTGGCCAATGCCAACGCCATGCTGAGGAGGGTGGATTTGTGCTGCGAGGTGAGGGGGTTGGGTATTTTGTGAGCTTACAGTCTGTTTCCGCAGTGCACATCAAGGGGTGGTGGTTCTGGCCAATGCCAACGCCATGCTGAGCAGGGTAGACCTTTGTTGTGAGGTGAGGGGGAGTGGGTGGGTGTTCATTGAGGTAGCAATCGGTTTTGGGTTGTGATTGGACTGTGGCTCTGGCCAATGCCAACGCCATGCTGAGGAGGGTGGGCTTGTGCTGCGAGGTGAGGGGGGTAGAGTGTAGGTGGCTCTACAGTCGATAGACTGAGCATGGCATTGGCATTGTCTATTAGCTGTTCTTAAGCTCTGCTCTGCCCAACGCCAATGCCAATGCCAATGCCAATGCCAATGCCATGCTCAGGCCCAGGGAGGTGGGTCTGTGGTGTGAGGTGAGGGGGGATGGGTTGCATCGTCGAGCAAGAAATCCGATTTCATGTGGTGGTGCAACAACATATAAGGATGCCTCTGCCCTGGGCCGTGGCTTGTTGATGCTCCCTCAACCTCGTGTATTCCCTGTTTGCCAGTCCTTCTCTCTCCATTCTCTCGGCTCACTTTCTTGTGCCCGCTCTCTTTTCTTCCTCCTCTCCTTTTGCCACTCCCTTCCCTCTTCCGCTTCAGGTAGCAGCACCACTCATCTTTGGCTGGCTTATTGTTGCCTTTGGCCCACTGATTTGTGCCAGAGCATGTGTTGCCCTCGTTGCTCTCTCCCTCCCTGCCCTGGTACGTCTCTGTTTCCTGCCCTGGTATGTCGTTTGCTCCTTTTACCATCTGATTTTTAGGTGTAATAATCACTTCAACCCAAAGTACCCCTCATCGTTCTCTTGCTTTCTGCACTGGTATGCTTTCTGCTGTCTGCCTTTGCCTCCTGACTCTAGAGGCCTCCCTTCCTCTCTTCCTGTTGCCCTCCTCTTCTCCCCTTCACCCCCTCCCCCCAGCTCGCCCTCACCACGCTCACCAACCGCCTCTCCTACGGAGCACCCAGCAGACCTCGGCCTATCAAGGAACAGTGCACGTGATTGAAGAAGTGTTTTGAGACGTCTCAAAACACTTCTTCAATCACGAGACCTCGGCCTATGAAGGAACAGTGCTTTAGGTTTGTTAACACAGCGTTTCACCTCTCTCCTCCCCCCTCCTTTTCACCTCACCCCTCCCCTTCACCCCCCCAGCTCGCCCTCACCATGCTCACCAACCGCCTCTCCCACGGAGCTCTCAGCAGACCTCGACCTGAGAAGTCTGAGAATGATTGCCAAAGCGGAGATAAGACTTCAAACGAGTGTAATGGGAATGTTACCATGACTGATCTAAAGTCGAAGCAGCATAAGCCCTCCGCGTCCCCCGCATCGTCCTCACTACTCCACTCCTATGAGGGGTCCTATGAGGGGTCCTATGAGGGGTCCTATGAGGGGTCCTATGAGGGGTCCTATGAGGGGTCCTATGAGGGGTCCTATGCACTTCACTCCTTCTCCCCTCCATCCTCGCCCCTCCTCCCCCTTCTCGCCTCGTCTGCTTTCGGCAGCAGCGCTCCAGCTACAGGAGTAGCACCTTCCTTGGCACTATGCTGCCACTGCTCGTCCTTGCACCCTGTTCCCGGGTCACACGGGCCACACACATCGTACCGTTCATGCTTGCTTCCCGGGCCTGTGCCGCAGAGTGCTGCGATGACATCACTGGGTTTAGCTGCAATGACAGCACATTCACATACAGCCGATCACAGGCACACGCTGCCACGCGCGTGCAGCGCTGGTCGCGATTGCGGTGCTGCTGCTGCCGCCCCTGCTGCCACTGCCACTGCCCCTGCTGCTGCTGCTGGTCCCGCCGCTGCTGCCCCCGCCGCTGCTCCTGCTGTTACTGTTGCTGCAGATGGTGATGGGAAAGCGCTGGATAAAGCATTGGAGGGGTTGGGGAGAGTGACCAAGACAGCAGGAAAAGCACTCAATACAGCAGCAGCCGGGGTGGGGAAAGTGGCAGAGGCAGCAGGGAAGGGGTGGCGGTGCTACGTGCAGCAGGCTGTGATGCCAGCCAGTGCGGCCTACGTGCTGCTCTTCTTCAATGCTGTGCTGTCTCCCGGGGGCCTCCTTACGTCGTTCCTGTCGCAGCATGGTAAGTACACTGGTTGTGTTGTATGCTGTTGTTCCCACACTCATGGTGAGTGCATGCCCGCCAGTGCGGCCTACGTGCTGCTCTTCTTCTATGCTGTGCTGTCATCCGGGGGCCTTCTCACGTCGTTCTCAACATGGTAAGAATCTGTCTGTCATGCCCAGTCATCTCATCTCGAGTCATGCCCAGTCATCTCATCTCGAGTCATGCCCAGTCATCTCATCTCGAGTCATGCCCAGTCATCTCATCTCGAGTCATGCCCAGTCTTTAATGAAGATTTGTCTCAAACTGGCTCTCTCGATAACACTCTAAGCTAGCGCACACCCAGGCTCCTTCCACCATCACTTCATGGAGTTTGTTTCGTTGGTCTAGTACAACACGAGATTGATGGAAGTAAGGCCTTTGCAGCCCACCTGTCCTCTCTTGACAGCTTCTCACGTCAATCCTGTCGCAACATGGTAAGAATCTGTCTGTCATGCCCAGTCATCTCATCTCGAGTCATGCCTACGTGCAGCAGGCTGTGATGCCCGCCAGTGCCGCCTACGTGCTGCTCTTCTTCAATGCAGTGCTGTCACCAGGGGGGCTTCTGACATCTTTCCTCTCCCAACACGGTAAAAATCTGCCTGCCTCGTCTGCTAGTTACGCCTTGTCATGCCCGCCAGTGCGGCCTATGAGTTGCTCTTCCTCAATGCTGTTCTCTCGCCTGGACGGATCCTCACCTCTTTTCTGTCACAGCATGGTGAGTATCCTCCTGCCTAGTCATCCCTTCCCATGCCTACATGCCTGCAGCAGGCTGTGCTGCCCGCCAGTGTAGCCTACGTGCTGCTCTTTTTCAATGCTGTTCTCTCGCCTGGAGGGCTCCTCACATCCTTCCTCTCGCAACACGGTGAGTGTTCAAGGGAGTCATCATGCCTACCCATGCCTACGTGCACCAGGCTGTCTGTCATGCCCGCCAGTGCAGCCTACGTGCTGCTCTTCCTCAATGCAGTGCTTTCGCCCGGGGGAGTGCTCACATCCTCCCTTCCTTCCGTTCCTTCCCTTCCCCGTTTCCCCTTCCCCGTGTCAGTGATAGGGGCGTTCAGGGGTGCCTCTGCCGCGACGTCTCATTATCTCTTTCTCCCCTCTGCCGCCTCCTCTCTCCCCTCTCCCTGTCTTCCCACACGCACACTACCACGCGTGCAGATTTTAGGGGCGTTGAAGGGCGCCTTATACCCTCCCTTCCTTTTCCACTCACATATTAATCCCCCTCTTCCTTTCCCCCTTCCTTTCCCCCTTTCCCCAACTACCAGGCGTGCAGATGTCAGTGATAGGGGCCTTCAGGGGCGCCTGTGCTGCCACGGGATTTGCCGCCACCTTTGTTTCGCCACCGCTCGTGGCACGTCTGGGTGTGCTACAGGTGCGGTGCGATGCAGTGCGGTTCTAGAAGGGTGCAGGGCTGTGCTGTAGCGGTGCAGTGAGAAGGGAATGACTGTGCTGCCATGGGCTTTGAGGCCACCTTAGTTTCGCCACTGCTCGTGGCACGTCTGGGTGCGCTACAGGTATTGTAGTGCAGTGGGGTGCTGTGCAGTGCAGAGTGGTGCAGTGTGGTGCAGTGCGGGGCCATGGGTTGTGGCGGGGTGCTGTGTGGTACAATGGTGTGCAGTGGGAGGCGAATGGACTGTTCATGCTGGCAGTGCTGCTCTCTTCTTCCATGCATCCCTCCCTCCCCACCCTCGCATCTTTGCCCTTCTCCCCTCTCTCACACACGCTCCCACACCCCCCCAGTCCCATCACTCCCTCCTTATCCACCTCTCCCTTGCCCACTCGTCATTCCAAGATGTCCCGCACAGTTGCCATCGTCTCATCTCTCTCGCACACGTGCACATGCACTCTCCTGCTTTTTACTCCCCCGTTCCCCTTTCATCCCATCAGGCTGGCAGTGCTGCACTTGTCTTCCAAGCCCTTCTCCTCTCCTGGACGTTGCAGGGAGTTCTTGAGAATTCTCAAAAACTCCCTGGCAGTGCTGCGCTTGTCTTCCAAGCCCTTCTCCTCTCCTGGCCCCCGTAACCCGCTCACATTCACACACGCACTTTTCTCTTACTTCCCCTCCCCCCGAACCCCCTCTCCACCCCAGGCTGGCAGTGCTGCTCTTGTCTTCCAAGCTCTCCTCCTTGCCCTCGCAGTGGGAATCTTCTCCTCTCTCTCACACTGCCCTCCGGTGCTGCAGCAGGGGCTGATGCTACTCTTCCTCTTGCTCGTCGTGAGTCTCTCTCTCACACACGCCCTATCTCACTCGCCCAAACCCATTCTCTCTCACACACACACCCTCTCTCACCCAACACACTTTGTTTCACAAATATGACGTCTCTCATGCTGCCCTCCGGTGCTGCAGCATGGGATGCTGCTGCTCTTCCTCCTGCTAGCTGTGGGTCCACTCTCTCTCTGCTCAATCCTTCACTCTCGCACATACACTCCCTCGCGCTGACCTTCAGTGCTGCAGCAGGATGCTCAATCTTGATTATTATTGTTATTATTATTATTATTATTATTCTTTTTTATAAAATTTTCAACAGATTCACTCTCACACATGCATGCTGCCCTTCAGTGCTACAGCAGGGGGCTCTCAGCATCTTGTATGCTTGCTCTCGCCCCTCATTTCCCCTCATCACCCCTCGTCACGTCTCATCACCTCTCACACCTGCTCCATTCCCGACCCATGTTCCCTCCAGGTGCTCTTTCGAGTGGGCCACTGGACATTTGAGATCATCACCTGTCATCATCTCTCATCACCTCTCATGACCCTCTCATAACCTCTCATAACCTCTCGCAACCTCTCATTACCCTCTTATCCTCCAGGTGCTTTCCCGAGTGGGCCATTGGACGTTTGAAATCGTCGACTCTCAGATCATCCAAACAGCCATCCCCCCTGCCTCCGCCAATCTCATCGGAACCACCGAAATCGCCCTCGCCAGCCTGGCGGAGCTACTAATGCTAGGACTCGCCATAGTCGTTCACGATCCTAAGCACTTTGCGGCTCTCGCTGCCATGTCCATGGCGGCTGTTTTTGCTGCGGCTGGGGTTTACTGCTCCTGGCTGGCTCGGCCCGACCCGAGGATTCAGAAGCTGTTCCCGAACCAGCCGGAGGTTCGGTGGGGAGAGGTGTTTGGGAGGTGGGGGTACGGAGGGGGGAGGAAGTGAGGTGCGTGTGTGGCTGAGCTGTTGAGACGGAGATGTGTTGAGAAGGGAAGAGCTGTTGATTGGTGGATGTGCTGCTGCTGGCGCCGGACCTGTTTGGTCCGGAGGTCAAGTGCTTGCCGAGCCTGAGCTTTGGATCACACTGGTGCGAAGGTGAGAAAAGGCTCGGGGAGCAGCGGTGAGCTGTCGCCTGTTGAGTCGGCTCAAAAGCTATTGGTGCCTGCTGGTGTGAGATGTGACTGCTGCTGTAGGTGTCTGCTGGTGTGACTGACGCTGCTGCTGTCTGCTGGTGTGAGGGTGACGCTGTGAGCTGGTTTGGAGATCTTGGTGGTGTGACCGAAGCTATTTGGTCTGGCTGAGAGGTCTGGGGACTGCGGGCTGCTGTTTGGTGTGCAGATTGAGTTGCCGGTCCTGCTGGTGTAACAATGGCAGCAGCAGTTGCAGAGGCAACAACAGCAGCAGCTGTAACGGCAGCAGCAGCACCAGCAGTAACGGCAACAGCAGTGGCAGCAATGGCGACAGTGATAGCAGCAGCTATGTCAACAGCAGCAGTAGTATCATTACAACAACAGAAGCAGCGGCGGCGGCAACAGCAGTAGCATCGAAACAGAAGTAGCAGCAGCCGCAAAAGCAACAGCAGCAGCAGTGGCAACAAGAAGCTTTAGTAGCAGCAGCAGCACCAGCACCAGCACCAGCAACAAGAGAAGCAACAGCAACAGATGAAGCAGCATCAGCATTGGAACGACAGCAGTGTCATCAATCAGCAAGCATAGATACATCACTTGCAAAAATTGCAGCGTCAGCCGTAGCAGAAGCAAGAGACACAACAGCATTAACAGCAACGGCAGCGCAAACATCAACAACACGAGCAGCATCAACACAGCAGGCATGCAAGGGAAATTGCAGCACTGACCTAAGTCCTTTGATTTGAAGCAAATGGAGCAAACAGTACCAAGCACAAGTCCTTAGCTGCAAGCCAGCATGACTGCTACAAGCAGCTTCCCAACATAGAAGCCCAGCTGTTGCTGGTGGGCACCACTCGTGCCATTTCTGCCATGTCAGGTTTGTATTGACATCGGATGTAAGGAAGCAACAGCGCCTATGTCTGTGCTACTTTGGCTGGTCAATACTGGTACTGTTGTATTTGCAACTGGGGAGGAGAGGCGCTGGTACGTGTGAGTGAAACCTATCCGAACTGGGTTTTGAGAAGCAGAAGACTTTGACTCGAAGATTTCAAATGACATGCTTGGTAAACCAGCTACCAAAGATCAATCCCCCAGGGTTTAGGCTCAAAACCACTCAGGAAATGCCAGGCTCACAACTAAGCAGGTGATGCCCAGGTTGCATTACAGATGGATTAGTTATGTTGGACTTGCAGGCACTGTACTTACTACACGTGGTTCAATATCAAAACTGCGGCTAGCTGGACTGCGATAGGTCTACACCAACCTCCCAACCAATCTGGTCACGCTTGGTCATAAAACAAGAGTGGCTGGCTGCTAGCTTCGACCGAGCAAGCACCTTTACTCAGCCGCCAACCTTGGCAACCAATCAGCCACGACGCGGCGCCGCCGTCCTTTCTCCCCCAAAACAACCAAAGCAGCCAGATTCATGCTTTCGGCTTGGTTTGGTTTGAAGGTCTTTGGATTTGGTCGGGTTTTACGGGCAGAGCAACTCGAGCCTGATCGTGTTACGTCCAAAATTAGATTCTTCACACGACACCCAATTTTTTCTCAAGTGAGACTGGCAATTCTCAAAATACTGTATGGGGCAAATGGGGAACAAACCCATAATCTAGGTGGTAGGTTCACCCAACCACAGGTTCAACCCAGCTTGCAACGTCATTCGTGGTTGAGATGAGGAGACGCCTAGCCATTCACCTTCTAAAATCCCTGGTCTCAACAATTCACCCACAATGGCAAAATTGCGCGACAAGCCGACTTTTTTTAATCCTTTTGACCAAGATCGCACCGCAAGTAGGGCGACCGGACCCCTCCCAAATGAATCGATCTACATGCGCGTACGCGATATTGACAGCCAATTTAATGTGTAGGCATTGGTGGATTTTCTAGTTACTGTTTCGCGTGGGATAATGTTTGCCAGGTGGTTTTCGTGTTTTCGTAAAAACAAGGTCGCAATTGTGGCTACATTGCCGTGACCTTACAAGTTGGGTTTTTAGTTTATCGAGAAGCACTAGGGGACAAAATTCGCTCCAAAGGCACTGCTAGCGCTGCTAGGGACTAGTTCCGTGGATTTCCAACATGAGAGCGTTCACTTATTACGCTCGTTAGGAAATCCAACTCCGATTGGTTAAAACAGTTAACAAACAGACGATGATCGTCTGTATAGACGGTCGCCGTCCATGTCGACCGGTCGATTTCACCTTTTCAAGCAAAAAACAATATACCCTCTTAGATGGTATGCCATTCAGGAAGTCATCAACCCTAAACACCATGCGGCAAGGTGTGTAGGGTTGACGCATTCCCATCGGTGCATTTTTGGGAGGACTCAACCCTAAACATGAGATCCCTTTCTCGTTAGGGTATATAGTTTTCCGGACGTATTTTTGGGAGGGATCAACCCTAAACAACTTGCCGCATGTTGTTTAGGATTGATACATCCCTCAACAAATTTTGTGTCGTTTTTCGACCAATCACGTTTGGACTTCCTAACCAGCATAATAACTAAACGTGCTCATATTAAAAGTGCACGTAAATGTTCCCCGGCAGCACCAACAGAACCTTCGGAGCAAATTTTGTCCGGTAGTACTTCTCGATAAACTTATAAGTTTCAGTTGTTTTGTCTAAGTCTGATGGCGCAAAAATGTTCGGCCATTTTCATATGCATGCAATTTAGTCGGGAAAAGCTGCTCAGGTGCATGCTATCCGGTCGCGTTTCTCCCGTTGTTGCACTGCTTGTACACACCTGCCAGTAAAAACACTGTTCTGTTAGGAGATGCAAAACGACAACACAAGCAGCACATGCAACACATAAATCGGCCTGGCAGAGAAGCCCGAAAGGGTAAAATACAACTCTTGGGGAACATGGACATTGTTAGGAATGGATCAATCCTAAATATGGGAACAATCTTGGTGTTTAGGGTTGATGTCCCGTAAGGCAGTAGAAATAGAAAGTAATAATAAAAATAACTTGGGAGCCTGGACTCGTTTTTTTAGAAGAGATCAACTCTAAACCAAGGAACCGTCCCGGTGTTTAGGGTTGATTCCTCCCGAGTCTTATGCGTTTCCAATTGGGTTTTATTTGTTTTGCCCGTTATTAGTCATGCCTATTGCGATATGTATTGACCTTGTTCGCAGTAACGCTGCGACTGGCGTGGTTGGATGACGAGTTCGTGCGAGAGCTGCACCAGTTGGCGTCAGTCGCATGGGTAGCACCCCCTTGCAGAACAGCAACTTGTCAGATTTATATGACATAGTTGTTGTAGGCTATAGTGGGGTAGCACATATGGGGTACAGGGTTTCTAGGGTTGTATTTGTACCCATCTTTCCTTAGTCATTTTCATCCCTGTTCGTTTATTCTCACATGGTATAGAGCGGGTCCTTCTACGGACCGGTTTTTTTTTTGGGCCCACCGAAGCGCCCCCCCGAGGCGCGATCCTTTTTTTTAGCGACCCCTCCGGTCGCCATTTCCCCTGCGGCCCCGCCGCCTTCACTGACGCGGCCCCGCCGCCCTCTCTGTCGCGGCTCGGCCGCTTGCTCTCACGCGGCCCCGCCCCGGCTCCTTCGCGGCCCCGCCCCGTGCTCTCGCGCGGCCCCGCCCCGGCTTCTACGCGGCCCCGCCCCGGCTTTCACGCGGCCCCGCCGACGGCTTCGTCGCGGCCCCGCCCAGGCCCTTACGCGGCTCGGCCGCCTGCTCTCACGCGGCCCCGCCCCGGCTCCTTCGCGGCCCCGCCGCCTGCTCTCGCGCGGCCCCGCCCCGGCTTCTACGCGGCCCCGCCCCGGCTTTCACGCGGCCCCGCCGACGGCTTCGTCGCGGCACCGCCCAGGCCCTTACGCGGCTCCACCGCCTGCTCTCACGCGGCCCCGCCCCGTCTCCTTCGCGGCC